AAACCCCTAAACCTTAAACCCTTCTAAACCGGTTCGAGGTCGCTCCGAAGCAGCCGAGGCCAGGCTGTTCCCGGCGAGGCCCAAGCGCCGGAGCAGCACCGGAAGGCCTCGAAGTGGCTCTTTACGAGAGGGAACGGGTTTAGGGTTTAGGGTTTAGGGTTTAGGGTCTGTAGGTCTTTTTTTTCCCTCTCGCATTGCTGAGAACTATGCTCACGACATTTCTTGTTTCTACCTATAGTCTCCATTGTACTTCCTTTTTTTGGTTTAACCAAATATATATTAAGGATTTTACGAGGTATCCCCCAAAAAGGAGCTACAATGGAGACTATAGGTAGGTCTTAGAAGGGTTTAGGCTTGAGGATGGCTTAGGTAGGGGCCCAAAGTTCAGGGTTCAGGGTCCTGTTAGACCCAACCTTGTGTAAAGGGTGTTTATGAGGGCGCTACTTTTCAGAAACTGTTACACAGCCATGCCTTTCAAGCTCTTGGCAACTCTCAAAGTTCATCGCATATCTTGTCCGGAGTAAGAAGAACACCATCGAAGCTCTTAGCTCCTCGAAAGGCTGCCTGTGTCCTCCGAAGGCCAGAGCCGAAACTCTGCATGTAACAAAGCCGGGACTGCCGGGACCGTGAATCCGAATTGAACCGAGGTGCTTCAAGCTTCCATCCTCAAAAAGGCTCCAAACCCAACTCCGATGCCAAGGTCCCAAAAATATAAACTTGTTTCTGGACCACTATGCAAGAGAAGAAGATCAGAATAAAGACTGGAGCTGTACGATCCTGACAAGGCGCACTCCTGCTGCAGGTGCACAGCATTGCAAACTCATTTACTTCTTCCCGGCACTCTTGCGTGTTCGCTAAAAACTATCACTGAATTCTTCCCCAGCCTACATCGCAAAGGTAAACCTCCCAGTGCGCCTGCATCCTTGTCACTGTCCGGCGCACGCACGAGCTGAGCAAGGTCTGCCGCGCTGGCGCCCGTGACCTTTTTCTAACGCCATCGCCGTTACAGTTCATGTGGGCGGATGTCTATAAACCGAAAAACTACAAATTTCGCAAGCTTGTAGTGAAGGTGCTATGCATACACGGACGGATGGGATGGGATGGGAGGGATGCCGACCACTCGACCTCGTTCCAGCCCAGCTCCAGCACCGAGAGCGCCGGCAAGTACTGCTTCACCAAGCTCGCGACCTTCGGATTTTCAGGCTTTAAGCGTGAGGCTTCGAAGTTTGAAGCGGTCTGGGATCGTTGGAGTATACGCGGATTCTTGCATAAACCGGAGGCCTCAATACGGGGGTGAAGCGTTAAGGACTCTTTGCGTGGCTTTCGAGTCGATATAAATTATTGAGGGGTGGGGGGTTGGGGCAGGGGGTTGGACGCTGAGAGTTTCACTCATGGAGTTCAAGGTCGAGTTGGGGTTGGGCTTTCGTCACCAACACAATCTACGAGCTCGGGGGCCCGGCATCATGGCTAAGGCAGTGTGGCCGAAAACTCCCATAGTTGAGCATCGCCGTGTTGATCTCACGCGGTCTTACTTGGCTCCTGCCGGTGGTGAATACAGAGAATCTTCTATTCAGCACGAGATGCTCTGGTCCTGCACCATATATGTAGTGAAAGCTCTCATTTCTCAAAGCCAACCCATGACAGACCCTGCGGTGCCTGCTTGCAACCGGCATCTCCCAGTCCGTTCATCTCCTGATCCCACCAGGGCGCACAGAAGTAAGCAGTCTGGAATCTAAGGTGTTGTGCAGTGTATAATTAGGGTACCTGAAGGTTTCGGAGTTCTCGTGTGGGTTTCAGGGCTGAGGCCATTCTAAGTCACACCCGAGCCCCAAATCCAAAATCTAGCAATCCGAAGCTCAGAGCCCTGCCTTTGGGCTGGACTTCGGTATCCGATCTGAACCTATGAAGCCACAAAGTCAAGGCCGAAATCTGAGGACCACCAAATCATCCCACAACGAGATGATGAACCTGGGACCCTCTGTAGCCCGCGTTTTGGCTTCTAACGTCGACAACCAAAGACCTCTGATACCCAGACTTCTTATTCTTGCCATCAATATTGCAAACCGGCAACCTTCTGTGTCTCAGTATATCCCCGTGGTTTTGTTGATTCTTCGAAGGCTCTAGGCCCAGGCAGCCCAGGGAATGCTTCCAGCCACCAATCCTCTGGAGTCGGCAGGTGTCAAGTAGCAACACCAACTCGCGAGAGAAAAGACCTATCAATTGCATGCAGTAGTTGCAGTGGTGGTGGTGTCGAGGACGACAACGGAGACGGCTACTACACTACGGCTACCACTGCCAGTGCTACCACAACTACCTGTCCTGCATTGCTGGCAACGGTTTTTCCGCGATCGGCTCACAAGACAAGACTCACCCCCAACAACATTCATAAGGCTCGCAATTCCCCACACTTCACTCACCCTCCAGACAAGGACAAAACACCCGGGGCCTTGCCTCGCTGCCTCACCGAGAAGTCTCGCGCCGTGGAGGCCAATGGCATTGTAGGAAAGCCCCAGCCTGATACAGCTGAAGCCATTGCATCTACGGTTACCTAAGGGTAGAGCTGTGTGGTGCTTGAGAATCGCCTACTGCCGAATTCACGGCGGTTTAGGCTTGGTGGCTTTGGGGCTGTCCAGCTTCCTTGGGGGTCGACAGCGTTTTTCGGAAATACGGTAAGACTCTCACACTGTGAGGCATCAGGATTTGGTGCCGCTTTTCGGCTTGATGGTTTAAGATGCACTGGCTCGAGTCTAGCTTCTGGTTGCGCCGGGGCCAAGGACTCAATCATGAAGCAACGGCTTGAGGAGGTTCAACGATGCAGCTTCACGACCCGACGTCTGCGTGACCTGTCGCATCTCCCGAAGGAAGTCTTCTCTTTGTCGCCTCGAAGTATGCTCCCATGATGCTGCCGGCAGGATCGGAAGGCTTGTCTGCGGGCAAATGGGTGAGAGAAACTCCTCGTGAGCATGGGCTCCGACTTACCTGAGGAATGTGTTTAATTGAGAACTTCCGATCCTTGCAGTGGTCTTCGATACAGGATTGTCGGTGCTTCGCTATGGCAAGGCCGGGCAACTGGGTTGAACGCGTGACATATAACAGCGATCATTTAACGACGCACACCGTCCCTGCCATTCCACACTATAGAGATGCCTCGACCAGGCAAGGAAAATCGCAAGCGGTCTGGACTTGTTGCACTCTTCATCTGTCCTATGTCTGGTCAGCACATAAGAACATATAGGGTTCGAGACCCAAATCTATCACCTACAGAAGAAGCCCAGATTTGGCGCGGCTGCATGCACCTAATGCTGCAGCTTTCGGCGCCGACTCCAAAAAATGCCTTGTTTGTCTGTTTGTGTTGATCTTATGATAAGAAGCCCGCTTCACCTAGCATAATTTCGTGCCTCATAGTCTTGTCAGCATGCCAGGATCTGCTTTGAGTACTATCAACCTTCGAAGCCTGACCCTCCGAATGCCTCCGACACCGCGGACCCAGGTCTCAAGTATATGCCAATTCGATTCACTCGAGAGCTTCCTTGATGTAGGCCGCCGCCAAGGTCGAGAAGATCAGTGCCTGGATGGATCCTGCAAAGAGACCCAGGCCCATGATGGGCAAGGGGATGATGAAGGGCACCAAGAAGCACAGCACTCCCACAGTCAGCTCATCAGCCACGACGTTTCCAAAAAGTCGAAAGCTTAAGGACAACGGCTTGGTGAAGTCCTCGAGGATGTTGATTGGCAGCAGGATCGGCGTTGGCTTCACATATCGGGCGAAGTAGCCCAAACCCTTCTTTGCGAGGCCACCGCCGAAGTAGGCAAGGGAGGTGAGCAAGCTCAAAGCGACGGTGGTGTTGATGTTGTTCGTCGGCGCGGCCAACTCACCGGCAGGAATCTCAA